CGTTTGCCACCTGATTCCCTTGCTGTTTGCCATGTCATTCTCAGCGGAGTAAAAAGAAGGTGCAAAAAGTGGTTTCACCTCTTAAAGGTTTCAACAGCAGACAAGTCAGACAAGTTAAGAACTTTACTTTATGTATTTCCAATTATATTGAAAATAAACACACAAGAAATAGAGTTTAATATAAGCCTGTATTCAGTGCATATACAATTTTCAATTTATAGATATGTATAATATATAATATATTAATGAACCAAGTGCTTTAAGTTTTTAAGGAGAAAAGAATAATAAAACGTATTATAATTTAGCACATCTTGTTTTATATCCTCAAAACTACACCTTTTCTGATTATTTTATTAATTTGAATTAAATTGACTGAACATTCATAAACATGTATACAAAAGTAAAATATAAACCTATAAAAATGCATAACAATTTAATAAAATACATTTAAAAATTTCTTATAATTCAAGCTAATAAATATGTTCTGATGTTTTATTTGCAAGAAACGCATACAAGTAAAAATAGAAAGAGATATTCTGTTCAAATCACTTCTTTTCCCTCAGTGGTTTTATGTGCTAAAATACATTTCCGCCCGTATTTCTGGAGAGATTTCCCTCCGGCGAGCGCGCCCTCTGACTTTTCACTTTGATCGACGGCCGGACAGCCTTCAATGGAAATTGATGACGCCACACCTCGCCGCCGCCGCTTTTCCCGCCTCTCCCGCTTTTCCCGCCTGCGGCGGTTCGAGATTGGGAGGTGTGTTCATGTCCATGTGCCGCTGAATACTCGCATAATTTCCCGAACAATAAAAACTGTTTTGTCTTCGATAAACAGAAGCGTGCTGGAGGAGACCCGTCGAGCATGCCGGCGATCTATAAAAATAGACAGGCGGGCCAACAAGTCGATGGCTGAATGGAGGCACATCTCCACACACAAAAATACTCCGTGATCTTATGGCTGACCTTACACATTTGCAGCACCTGGTTGGCCAACCCGTGCAACCTGGCAACCTGGCAACCTGGTAACCTGGCAATAAGGAGGCAGAGATGACAGTCTGCGATTTCCCCAAACAAATTGGTAGAAATTGTATAAGTTCTGCCAAATGATGGTAAATATCTACTTGATTTTTTTAACGAAAAATTTACTAGTTAGGACTAGATTAAATATTTAATTTGGAAACTTGTTTCACTTGTTTATTATGTTCTATTTCTGGTCATCACTGTTGGGAAATTAGAAATCAGAACTCAGCCCCCACGGAACACGGAAATCCTAGCGGAAAGCAAAACAAGAGGATCGCGAAGGAAGGGAAAGCGATTTGATTGAATTGCCACAATTAGAAAGATTTCCAGATTTGCTCGCCTTGTTTGAGTTTGTTTTGGTTGCGGTTTTAGCCGCCTTTAGTCGAACTCTTGGTTGTTTACACGGATGCCACGGCTCCTTTCCCCTGTGGTTAAATATTTGATGAACTAAAGTGGAAAATTTGGACCGGCAAACAGGGCAAACTGGGCTAACTTGGCCAACTGGGCAAACGGGGCAAAGTGCACGAAAGAGCGAGAAATCAAGTGGCCGAGTGCGAGTCCCCTTAAGCGGAATTTCGCCGGGATTCCTTTTCTTTTTATGTCTGCTTCCGGGAGATATTTAAGCCCGGCCACGCCCCTCCGGTCAGCTTGACAGATGAGAAATAGCAGCGTTTCCTGGGCCACTGGCCAAATCGATTCGCATTCGCATTCGGATTTGGATTCGGATTTGGATTCGAATTCGTTTTGGCCTGCAGCAATGCCCAATGCCCGCACTTACAACACACCAAACCTAAAATAGCAAACGCTTTTTGGCTGCCCCAAATTACGAACGCACATGGATAGGGAATATAAATCTGTGTGGTGTCTCGTAACCGAGTGAATGCACTGGGAAAAACTCATTACTTTGGAAATTCATATTAAATCTTAAAAGCATTGAAGGAACAAGCAATTGAAATGTACTGAAATATATTTAAAGCACGTATTGTATGTAGATTACAGAATCTAATAACTTTATATGTAGATTATATGTAGATTATATGTAGATTATATGTAGATTACAGAATCTAATAACTTTTCAATTGCTTTATAAAAGATTGTAAATCAGAAATTCAATAAAAATATAAACAAAATTGTATATTAAACAGCAATCTTAAATCATTTCGCGAATGCGGTTCTCAGGCAAATAAAAAGTCTGTAGGATGGCTTATTATATAAGCGAATTACAAACATTTCCGAGGGAATAAATCATCCAGAGTGATTGTTTGTTTTGCCAGTGCAGAGAGTACAGCATATAGCATATAGCATATAGCACTCACCACTCAGTACGGTTGGCCTCTGACGTCAGAGCCCCTTTCCCCTTCCCCTTTCCCCTTTCCCGTTTCCGTCGGACCGCAGGGAAAATGGCCATTGAAATGTTGACGTCGATGGCGTTGCGAGTAACGGATTTGTCTTTGGCCTGTTATTGTTTAACTCACAGATACTCCGGCCAGCGTGTATCCGTGCATCTGTGCTGGTATCTGTGCGGTTTATTGACATTCGACGGCGGCGAGCGTGTGTATTTGTTTTGGTCAGAGCCCGGGATAGATGGATGAAAAATTGATTGTGCTTCACCTCAACAATTTGGCAAGCTGGAAAAACACAAGCCTTGTCCAGTGGCAAGTGGCAGCTCCACTCGTCGTCATTCGTGTGTGTCAATTAAGGGTTCTTCTTGCCGATTGCACAATGCACTGCACCGTCGTACTACACCATACGTCATCATCATCACCGTCATCAGCCAGCCACTCGACTCTCGAAAGTAGGCTGGCTATATTCTCCGGTCTTCGGTTTTCAGTTCTTCAGTTTTGCAGTTGCCAGCGGCGACAGTTGGCCAATATTGAGATGGAATGCCTGACACATGTAACAAATCTCGAGCCCTCGAAACGAAACTCGAATAAATCAAAGACCTGACAAAATATTGAAGGCATTTTGTCGCTTAATTGGAGTGCCACGCGCTGCCAAAGACAAGGGCGAGCCGAGTGAAAAAAAAAAAAACGCAAAGGCGGTGGCAACATTGAGTGGCACATTCGACAGGCTAAATGCGAGTGTCAGATCATGTATGTAGATTTACGGAGAACCGATATCTGCCATGGCAACCAAACAACGACCCTTCGAACACAATAAATAAAAGTGCAGAATTCTTTGGTGTGTTAACCACGATTCGATTATTAAGATGGGTTGATTGTAAAAATTGAATTTGTAAGGAATTGTTTTACTTCTTGTGTCAGAAATAAATCATTTTAAATCTCAAACAAGAAGGTTCCAGCTATCAAATATAAACAAATGTTCGTTTCAACTTTAAAATGTATTTTGAAATCGAATTTAGCCATAATGGGGATCAAGTTAAACTGTTGTTGTTCGGCTGACGTGTTTTGTCATCATTTGCGTACGGCCGATAAGTTTCTTGGCCATTTTTTGAACACACACTCCCTGTTGCAGGACGAGTTTTCACAGCACGTTAACCCGGAATGGCAGATCCCGAAACGGACTTTGGATTAGCGGCGTCCTTGTGTTCCGCCCATTTACGAGGCCCCAAAGCAGCACTTTCCCCACAAAGGACCGAGCACCCGCTCCTGTCCCACACACACTCACTCACTCCTCTGTAGCACTCACTCACACACACACACACACACACACACACATGACGGGGCTGTCAGACGCCATTATCACATATTGCCGTCACTTTGTGTTCGCCAGCGCCGCTGTATTTGTGGCCGTAATGCGCAAATACTCGTATGCCAAAGGTCCTGGCTCTCATTCTGGTTCTGTTTCTGGTTCTACTTCTGGTCCGAGTCCTTATTCGCATAGCCGCACTCGCATATCCGCATCTGGGACATATGCAAATGGTGAATGGTGGATGGTGAACGGCGAATGCTGAATGGTAAATGGCAAATGGCAAATGGTGAACGGCAAATGCCAAGTCGGTCAAATCGTTTTCACACATGAGCCTTATTTGCATCTCATTAACATCGGGAGCTGTTGGGCTCCAACAATGGCCGTGTGTCATTTCCGCAGCTATTTCAACATCTATTTGCTATTTCTATTTCTACTCCTAAGTCTATTTGTATTTCTATTTCTATTTCCGCTTTTCAATATGCCAGGGATCGGATAATTATTGCACGGAAAATACTGGAGTGTTGGTGGGCCACGCCTAATGAGCATGTCCTTCGATGATTGACGTGTGATGGCTGTGTGTGCGGGCAGTTAATGTCACATATTTTGATAAATTGTTTTACGACCATAATTTGTGCAACTTTTATCGCCCTTTTTGTAATGGCTTTCCTATTAGTGTTTTATGTGCCGTAAAAGTAGCCCCCCCACAAAACACGCATTCATCATTATGCTGATAGTTGGATACAAGTTGATAGAAGTGCCAACGAAATGAATTAAATTATTTACACGGCTCTCGGCAGGCGCCTTTTGCATTTTATGACAGCGCAAACAGGCCGCACTCCTATTTATTCAACATTCTGTTGAACACGCGCTCAAATAATTTATGTTTGGCATAACCTTTGGGGCCACCGGCAGGCAGGGCCAAACAAGGGTTAACAGCCATTTCCCAGACAGAAAAAGATACACGGACACATATTTAGATACAGATACGCTGAGAAAACAAGTGCCCAAAAAAAATCGGATTTAAGAACGTTTCGTTCTCGAAGAGTTTATCTTTCGGTAACCTTCAACTATCTTATGTGTTCGGACTTCATTTGATAAATAACAAATGAGAAATTAAATAAATTGTGACCTTAACTTGCCCAGAAGTTAAGTCTAGACGTTGGGAACTTTTTGGGAATTAAAACTTAAGCCTTAAAATTTTCTTTGGTGTACAGATACGAAATGCGAGATACGAGAGTTATGTTGTTCCCCAGAGGAAGGGGACTGTTTACATTTTGATGAGCCCGAATGGCAAGCGAATTATTTGACTATTTATACGTGTTTACATACCTTTATGCTGCTTTCTCCGTGGCGCTTCAAAAGAAAGGGACGGCGACTGGGGAGCCGGAAAGAGACAGGAGATGGGGTGTTTCCTCCGTGAGTCTAGTGCATTCTGCAAACAAATTAACACACAAAAGTCAACGGAAGTTCTAAGGAAATCTACTGAGCAAACATCAGATAGGGCTTGGCAAACAAAACCAGTTTGCGTCGGAAATACGAGTATTAATCGCTTTTGTGGTCAAAACAAAGGCAAGATTGTGCTAAAGGTCGAGTTGCCCAAATTACTAATTGCGATGGACCGACGAACTAAATACATACTTCAATTCAGGAGTTCACTTTTAATCAAGGCACCCAACTTGGCCAACAAACAGAGCTGCAACTTGTGTTTATACAGTGAGTTCTTGGCCAAATCCTGGAGCGGTGATTGTGTCTTTGAAGTTTCTCCCCGAGTTTCTGAATCTGCGCTGCAATAAATTTATCTTAATATCCAAGAGACGTGGAAGTTTCGGTCGTCTGAACGCATTTTTCATTCTAATGGAGTCGTCTGCACAGTGCAAGGAAAACTTTTCTCTGCACCACCGCAAACAATGCCAAATTATATATATGCATATAGGTAGCATATGGGCGGATGGATGCAGAAACAGCTGTGGTGCCACAAATAGTAACAATGTTGCTAAATCTGTGCAGCCAAATGGGTTTACTTTCAATCTTTTCTATCTATCTTTATCTATTGCACAATACATAGGAATATATATTCCTCTTATTTATGGAAAGCGAACATAATATTATTTATATAAATGTTTGTATAAATGTATAATTATATGATACGTGTTACCTATTTAAAATGAATATAATATGTAACTGCCAGTGAAATCTTTATCATAAGCTAGAGCAAGCTATTATTTTGTGCTCTGCTGTAGGTATATACATCCGCCTCCCATTCAGACCCGAGTCCCCTGACAGAACATATGTTAAACATTGTGAATAGTGCAAAACTTTGACATCAAAGTTTGTTGCTGAAATAATTTGTGTGTTGTTCAATGTGTGAAATTGAAATTATTTCGGCTCGAGACCCCCGAAGAGCTTAACCAAGTGGAGAATGGCATTTTAATCAAGCTTGGGGGAAGTTCATTAGCACGGCACAGCACAGAACACAGCACACGGGGCGTATGCGTAATATGGTTGTTTGGAGCAGTGGTGGAGCAATAGTGGAGTCGAAGTTCGATTAGTCGCACTTGGAGGGGCGATAAGTCGCTACCATTAAATGCTCGTTAGCAGTCATCGCCATATCTATATCTGTAGTATTTCGCAAATTATCTCTGCCAGCACTGCCTCGATTTTCCCTGCTCCTCTAATCAGCGTTGGGCAAACAAAAAGCTGACATGAATGAAATTTACAGAGAGCCGAATGGCTCTTTTCGTTGCTCCATTACACTGGGCAACAGATTAGCTACCAAAAAAGCCCAAAAAACACCCTAAACTGCTTTGCAAGTTTTTAGAAGCGAACAAAAATTATATTTTGAGTAGCTACATTTTAATTATTGAAATGGGAAAAACCAATTATTGCGGCTTTTTATAAGTGGGCTTTATAAATATATTTAACGATGGTGACTAAAACCCAATTAAGCAGATTTGAGGCCAATTATTTAAATAAAAATATTCGCTGAATTTGAGCCAAAATGTTAAGTGGCCTTGACTTTTTATAGAAAACGAAAGAATATATGACAACATAGAATTTATTTCAATGAAAATTCAAGGTCATCTTTAATACCGCGAATATTTTATGCTGGTGAACTTGGCTAACAAAAAGTCTTAAGAGAAATTTCGCATTGTCTGCGGAGCCATTGTTATGACGAACTTTGAAAACTGAACTTGGCTGCCTAGTGTTGTGTGTTGTGTGTTGTGAGCTGTGCCGCGTATCTTCTTTGCGTATCGCGTATCTCACCGCGGGCGAGGAAAAGGCGGGGAAAAGCGGAGGGGAAAAAGGGCAGGCGACTTCAATGCGAACGCCACGCCCCTGGGCAAAATGCTTGCCTCACTGATTTGCGTGCTGCACACACAACACAAAAAAAAAAAGTAAATAATAAAGAAAAAAAAAAGTGGATGGGTGTGGGCACTCGGATATTTGGGATACTTGGGGGCTGTGTCACATTTCTGTTCCGAGCTTCGTGCTATTTTTGCCATTTTGTTTGCTTTGCTGGCTGCGCGACGCTGCGGCTTATCACATAATTTGAATAAAGTAGCTGCAATCTTGTGTCGGTTTATCGCAAATTAGACCGACAACGGACAGGGTGCAGATAAAAACATCACCCAAATAGCTGTAGCACTACGACTAGCAATTGTCTGTGACCAAAGGAATCTGGAGATTTAGTTTAACGAACCTCGAACCAACGGAGATGAAAAAGCGACCAGATCGAGCATACGCCCTGGTGTCTGATGCACTTTGGCCTCCAATTTGTTTACTTTGTGCTGCAAAATCAAATTATGCACGTGGGCTCCAGGTGAGATGGCAAAAGGGGGAAAGGGTAAAGGGGAAGGGAGAGGAGGATGAGGATGACGGGGGCGAGAAATGAATGGGCAAAAATAATTGAATCAGAAGCAAATTGCAGGACATGTCGCCCGCCAGCCTGCTGGCAACTGTCTGCTCCTTTTCCCATGTCACGGATGTTGCCCCATGTTACCCCATGTTGCCCCATGTTGCTCCTGCCTTTTCCCGGACGTTGAGCAAATTGCTTGACACTTTTAATTATGGAAATTGACTAACGCTCTGATGGGTCGCGAACATATATACATATATACGAGTATATATAGTAGGGAACGTGATGGAAGCGCGGAGCATAAGTTGAGCAGTCCCTGTTCCGTAAACTCCCCGCCAATACGTCAATTTAAGTATTAAAACATTTACTGCTCTGCCATTGGCAATGAAATGGGTAATACGGCCCATAAACTACAATAATTCGAAACTGTTTTCAACAAAATAAACCTAATTTCGACCCGGCGTGAAGCAATCAATAATGGGAATCGGCATGGAAATGGGAATGGGAATGAAAATGGGCATCTGCCTGGACAATGCCAAAAATACGCAATCAAATTTCCGCGAATTGCGAAAAGCGCGTTTAATTGGAAAGTCGTTTTTCTTCCCAGCAGTGAAAGGCTAATGAAAAGAGAAATAAAATCGAATTTTCAGCGAGACGCGAATTATGGTCTCTGACCGAAAATTATTATCTGCAGAGAACGAAAATTTGACAATTCCAATTAAGTATTTCTGAGTAGATTTCACAAAAATATTTCAAAGCAACACTTCTTGGTTTAAAGATCGATTTTTGAGTTGCATTTAAAATATGGCAGGCAGGTAAAAAGTAAAAGTCAAGAAGAATTTACAAAGGTCGTTCGTTTTTAAAGTGACACTTGAATTTAAAATGAAAATTCAGCACCTTTCGACGAGTTTTATTGTTTACTTTCTCTCTCTGCACGCAATTTGGTTGCGGCAAAGGAGTCCCTCTGGCTTGTGCGAGTTTCGCGGAAATGTGTCGGAAAACATTTGCCTGTCAACGGGGTCATAATCGAACACGGCCATATGTACTCGGAACGGGGATGCAGCCACATTTGGTAATTGCACCTCGGGATGCTTAACACGATGCACTGGCACCGGGAAAAATTAAGTGTGCCGCGGGCCAAGCGGCGGTGGCCATTATTTATTTACATTTCCCGCTCCCGGTTCTTTATGTCATCATACGCCATTTGCCATTCGCCTGGCTTTTCATCGGCATTTTCGGTGAGCTCTTGCCTTTCCCCGCTGATTGCTGCTCTTTTCAGTTGATGGAATGGATTCTCCGGCCATCCCGAAAGGTGTCTGAAAATTTACATATTCCGGGCCAAAGAAAGTTGCTCGAACCCGCTCCCCATTTCGCTGTCCCCACTCCTGGATGTCGGTTAATTTGGGGGCACCACACGTACACACACCTTGGCTCACCTTTTCCGCAGATGGCTGGGCTCTTTGGCTGCCTTTCCTTTGGCGTGGCTTAAATTAATACTGCAGGCGAGGACCTGGGAAATGCGGCTCCTTCTGCTGTTGTGGCACTTTTCACTAGCATATTTTGCTGCGCAGTTGGACGCGTGTAATTGTAATTTATTCACGCTTATTTACGGCACTTGGCAAATGTTTAGCAGTTGCTGTTTACATTCACTTTGATGTCATTTACAATGTGTTTTCTGATATCTTTATGTCTTTGCGTAAATGCGAAAGTTAAACATTGTTACGTTTCATTTCTTCTTTTATGGTTTGTTTTGGTTTTGAGGTATTTCTTTTTTTGTTTGTTTTTATGTTTACTACAAAAATATATGGTTTGTTTTGGGGTTTTTCTTGTTAACTGAGGAGCGTTTTCCTATTTTCGGGGAGCTCTTCCTCGCTCGATGCGATCGCCGGCACGTCCACTAACGAAGTGAGGGCTGCGGCCACTGGCGCTTTCTTTTATAGCGGCCACCCGCTCTCTCTTCGCGCTCTCTCTTCGGCTCTCGCCCTGCTTTCTCCCTGTTATCAATGGCTCCGCTCTCTCTTAGTGGCTCTTCACCAGCTGAGCGGCTCTCTTAAATCAGTGGCAGCCAATTAATGCATTTTCTTATCAGCAGCTCTCGAATCTTGTGACGTCACTGCGAACCACTTGCCCAATTGCACGTGTTAAATATATACAGCACATAATAGGCTGTTTTTGTGACTCCTGGCCATAAATTAGCAAATAACCTTTGCGCTTGGCCAGATTTCAGCTGGCCATTCGCTGCCCTTCTTGTTTATTTACACTTTTCTCTGCCTCACTGCGTTTTGCTCTCCCTGTTGTTCTTTTGTCTTGATTTTGTTGTGCCTCAGGATCTGGGCTCTCTGTTGATTTATCTGGAAATATGTTATCTTACAATGCCGCATAACTTAAACTCCCGCTGAGTTTTCCCCGCCCCCTGGGATTTTAATGTAAATAAATGCTTACAAGAAAAGTTTCGTCGGGGAATACGTTTGTGTGCCTTTTTCGGTTCTCCCGATAAGCAGCTCGTAGAATTTGGACAAAGTTTCGGCAATTTCAAATTACAAAACTTTGTTTTCGGCTATGTTTAATTATTGTGGAGTTATGCTGAGTTCTGGACGAAATTTATGCGGGAAAGAGAAACAATTAGAATACAATTTTAAATGAAAATGAGGATGAAAATTAATCTGTCTAAAACTTTATAAATAATAATTCACCAATATAAGTAGGTAACTAAAATCAACAAAATTCGTTACCTTTTTAATTTATTTTACGGTTTTTTTTTAATCTGTGATACTGCAAAAAAGGCGACGCATTCCAGCGAATGTGTAGACAAAAATCAATTATTTTGCGCTCGGCTTGTCGATTTCATCAAAAATATCCCTGTGAAGCGTAATGGGAACCATATGAAGCATGGATTAAGCCGGATGCTGCTAAGAAAATTGCTTATGTACTGCCGAAAAAGTACTTCCTTTTCCCCGTCCCTTTGCCTTTGCTGCGGATCTACGCATAAAAATTCGCGTCAATTTTCCTGCGCTTTACAGCAGATTGCCACTTCTGGCCCCCATTTCGCATTTTGTTTTTGTGCGGGCGTCCAGAGTCCTGATTCGCACACACACACACACACAGCACACTCACACAGTCGCAATCAGTGAGATGGGCATGCAAAAGCGTTGCCATTTTATCGTTGCCTACTTCCAGGCAGCCGCCATCAAGCTGTGCCAGAAATTGGAACTCTTCGGCGGAACTCGGCCACCCAATTCCACTTCCACTTCCATTTCCTCCGCCGCCGCCGAATCTCCTTTATTTTTAGCAGTAGCATAATTTTTTATTGATTGGATTTCAGTGAAAATCACTTCCGGCGATAAATTTGTTATGCAGGCAGCGATTCCGTTCGGTTATGTCCTGGCTTTCTGTTCTTCTTCTGCTCTGACTTTTCACAAAAAAACAAGGAAAACTTTTCATGCTGGCGGTGGAATACGAGCATTATCGAACCCGCCTGACATTTACAGGAGTACTGTGTGTTTTGATTTATTTTACTTCTGCGTCAATGTCAATCGTATCTGCAGACTTCAAGGGGGATATCCTTGCTTGTTTAACTCGGAATTTGTTTGTTTGGCTTTCCTTATGCCCCTGCACTAATGGCCAAATGGGGGATGGCGAATGTAAATGGAAATGGCAAATGGCTACGAGTATTGACAAAGAAAATTTGCACACTGTTTGACTTACATTACATGTGGTGGTGGAGGTGGAGATGGAGGGGCAGAAGCCTTTGGGGCAAATCAAATACAAACACATTCCCCACAAATTACTGCAAAATGTTATCAAAAAGCCAGCTTTGCCCAATGGTAATTTAATATTTCAATTTCGAGCGCCACGGGGTCATTGATCCCAATCCCGATGATGTCCTGGCAACCAGTAACCAGTAACGGGGCTTTGGGGATAAACATTAAGCATCGGGCGGCGTAAAATCGTAGCAAATGAACCACTAAAGACACGTCCATAACAACAGCTGCTGACCCGCACACAAAAACACTTCGAGGATGGTGGGTTTTTTGTTAAGAGAACCGTGACGTCACGAGCACTTCGCAAAAAGAGCTGCAGCCGAAGAGAGCCGAAGAGAGAGCCATTAAAGAGTGATTAAAGCGCCTGCGCGTAGCAAGGACTCTTGGACTTCCGGCTAACGCAGCGACCATATGACATCATTGAAAACAAACCCCGAGCTTTGGTAATGAAATTATGCGTTTCTTTTTTGCCATTTTTGTCACTGCCTTGGGCCGGCTGTGTGTGCGTGTGTGTGTGTTGGTGTGCTCCGTGTCGGTGTGAATAGTTTTTGGCTTCTGCTGTGGCGCCTATGGGAGCGCTGACGTCACTGCTGCCTGTGCACTCGAATGTAAAATTGGCAAATAAATAGGATTTGATATTTAACGTCCCGCTGCAAGAAAAGGAAGCCATGCGCAGACGGCGGTGACATAAGACCGGACCCAAGCAGCCAAACAAAATTCCTTGGCCAGCTGCAGTGCTGCTGCCTTTGTTTTTGGGTAGCAAAGTTGGCTAAGAAGATATTTATTATAGACAAGCTTAGAACAAAAAAGTATTTACGGCATTTAGTAATACAACTAATTAGTTTAAATTCCTTTCAAAATGGCTTACAAAGCAAACAAATATTTTTAAATTAATTAGATTTAAATATGGTGGCTTAAGGACTAACAACATAATTTCATTTTTTAATTGAAAAGCCATTTCCCTTTGAAAAAAAAAATCGTAATTAGGATTAGTCAAAGTACTTGGTGTCTTCTTAAAATAGATATTTAAATTTGCTCATATTTATGTAATACTACGTTTGTAACTAAATACAAAAAGTGCATTAAATGTAAGCTTCTCTAAATGTAAACATTTCCCGCGTGCGCAATAGCTAAAAGGACAGCACAAACTTCCAGGTGACCGCTGAGCGTTCGGTGGCCAAAGGTCACGGAAGGAAGACAATGACATTTCGGTGGCCTAATTGAATCAAGAGCACGTGCAGCATTTCCCGGCTTATGCCACTTTTCAATCACTTCCCAGTCCCTCGACAAAAGGAAACAAATTTCGCCTAACCGCACTCGAGTGCTTGGCCATTTGGTTGGTTATTGTTTTATGCGCTATTTCTTCCACTTTGATGGAGGGTTCGGCCCAAAGGATGCTGCACTCAGTGCGCTGCCCATCCTTCCCCTCCCCTCAGTGCTTAATTTAGTGACGTCAATGGGTAAATGACTGAGTACTGAGAGGCCAAATAGCGTGGTGCTGGCTGTTGGCTGTTGGCTGGCTGTTTTTATGGACACGCCAGTGAGTGCGGTTAAGCGGCGAGACGTTGCCCCATTAATTCGGAGCATACTTTCGGGCGCTCTTTAAACTTAAAGGTTAGCATTTTGGCTATAAACGGATGCGGATGTCAACAGGGGGCGTGAGCCAATTGAACAGGCAGTTAAAGCTCTTAAAATTCAATAAAAACCCATAAAGGTTTTATTATTTCAGAGCATGGTGGGTAAATCTGTAGGAGTGCCTATTTAAATCGCTATAAATGAGGTGATTGATGACCTTTCAAAAATTTCGAATTGATGTTATTAAATTTTTAAAAGCTTGCATTTTTTGTTACTTTCCTTTAAAGGATAGCAGGGAGTGGGAATAATTCATTAAAATATTCGATTTCAAAAATTTGTTGTCTTTACAACATCTCATAAATTATTTTATTTCGTTTTTTGCAATGTAATTTTTGTCCCATTAAAATGCGAATAAAAAATATATTTTAATGTCGTAAAGCAAGACAAAAATGCTTTCGAAATTTTGTTAAAATTATGTGTTATTGGCAATATGTATGTAAGCCCTACCTCAATTCACAAAAATCTGTGAAGTAACCTTGATGAAGAGTAGTCAGTAAAACTAGACTTTGGAACTTTATTATATAAACAATCATTATCAATATATATTCCACAAGTGTAATGCTGATTATCATTTTCGAAGATCTTATCTAACTTTCTTAAGGGGGGAAATACAATTAGAAATTTTTTTTTTTCGAAAAAATTTTTTTTGGCTCAATGTACTCTAAATATGTCTGGGAATAAGCCTTTAAAAGCATAAAGCCGTCCGGTACTTATTTTCAAAGTTATAAGCAATTTAGTGAGGGTGTGTCATATGGCGGACATGCACAAAAGTAAACTTTAAACGCTTCTCCTGAAAAGTCGTGTTTTCAAAGTCGCCGTGCAATGTACAGGTCAGAGATTTTATTTTAATCGAATGCGGTTTTTTGCATTATGTTTGAAATTAAATTCTCCACACCATGAATATAGCGGTTTTTCATATTTGTTTGTTATAACATGTTTTTTTTACAATCAAAGTCAAAAAAAAATCGTTAGTTGTGAAATTTTTTTTTTAACCTAAAATTTTTTAATGGAAAAATAATTTTTTTTAAATATGGTTTAATTCATGGTGTGCGCTGTACCTTTAAGTTTAAAGCCCAGTTGCTTTTTTTTGTTTAAGTCGTGATCCTGGACCTGGAGACTGCACGGCGCAAAGTCCTTCCCTAAAAACACGACTCCACATTATTGATCATAAATGGGCTTAATTACAATATTTTTCAAAAAACTTGACTGATTTTTATTGCTCAATAATTACCCAATAACATGCAAAAAGAATCACTAAGATTCATTTAATACTCTACTTGCAATCCACTCCCAAAGATAGCCCTCATTTCAGGCCTTCTAATTGTATTTCCCCCCTTAATCGGCCAAAAAGTATGCAAAATACGGGATCTGCCCGAATACCGTTTATCGTGATCGCGGCAATAACCTCACATCTGTGTATAAATATAGTGCTACAACAACAAACACAAGAAGCAACCGACTGACCGAGTCAGCCAAACTCTTCGCCTTGTCTTCGCATCGCTCAGTTTCTTCCAGACAGTCGTTCGCGTCGGTTGTTGGATGTCGGATGTTCGTTGTCGGTTGTTGGTTGTTGGATGTTCGTTGTCGGTTGTTGGTTGTCGGTTGTTGGATGTCCGTTGCTGGTTGTCGCAGGTCGATCGCTGCGATTATTGAGCCCTGCACGCAGACTTCGTGCGACTGCACGGTGCAATCGAATTAACAAGTGACGCGCAGCAGCCGAAAAAAATAAGAAAACACTCCAGTTTTGCTATTCTGACACAATTTCGCGGGGAAAAAAAGCAAAAACTGCAAGCAGCAAACAAAAAAAATAAGCGAAAAACAGCGAAAATGTGTGTGTGTGGAGTAAAATGTGCATTCAACAACAATAGCGAAGGAAAGTGAGGAGAGAAAACGAAGAAGAAGAAGAAGAAGAAGAAGGTGCCGAGGCAGAAATTGGAAATAAACAAAAAGAAATTGCATAAGTCGGATTTTGGCGTGCGCTTTGCTCATCTTCTTCTTTCCCGCTGCTGCTGCAATATTTGAGTGGTGGCTTCTTGTCCCCTTTACCGCTTTTCCCCACTCGGGCCGCTTTTCCCGCCCATGCCGCTTGTCCTCCCCCCCGAAAAAAAAACGCGAGATAAAAACGGAGACGGAGCGCCGAAAGATTTTGACTTAGTGGCGGTTTTTACAAAATTTTAATCAGCCCCGCGCTGGGCAGCTTGACCATTTGACTTTTTTCGAACAAGTTTGCATTCAAGTTTCGCCTGGCAGTGTGCGTTTCGGCAATTAAAGCCCATTAATGCAATTGTTGCTAACCAATTTCTATGTTCCCGTGTGTGCGCGCCTTTTAGCCGTTAAACATTTATGCAACTCGGCCGAAAACAACAACAACAACAGCGACATTTGGCCAAGGGACGTACTTTATCCCCCACCGAAGTCCGTGTGAGGTGAGGCAATTAACATAAACCAATTACAGCTAATTACCATTAAACAAATTAGTCGCCGCAAATCGTGCTCGAATCGTCGCTGCTTGTGTCATTAAACTGATACGGAATTTGCATAAATTAGATAAGGATTTACAGCAAATAGAACAGAAACGCAGACGCGGGTTCAAACCCATGGAGCGTTTTTATTTTGTTTTATTTTGTTTTATGTTGTCCTGGCCTTTAATGACCCTCGTAAATTCCAGTCCAGCAAAAGATTTACTTAATTAGTGCACTTGAATACTCTGGCTTTTAGTAAAGGAATGTGGTAATAACTTAAGTGCACTTCCAATATCTTTATTAGAAAATAAAGAATTTAATGACAAATACAAAAGTCTTACAAATTCTGTACTTAAAGTTTGTACTAAAATATTTTTGTTCATATGGAAACGAATAACATTTTGAACTGTTCCAAATAATAAAACATATAATAATAATATTACATCAGTAGCTAATCTTTCCATTATCTGTTCATAACCCACAAAACGCATAAAATATCCAATATATACACCTGTTAAAATAAAAACTAAACTTTGTTTTCAGCCCTCAAAATCACTTTGCACTCCTACATAGTTGCAAAGTATTCGGCTCAACAAACACTTAATTTCAGCCATTTCAATGGCAAATAAATTGAAATTGCGGTGCACTTATTTACAAATTACATTTGCATTTGCATACTTCCACGTTAATTAAATTTCCCAATTCGAGCAACTGCACTTCAAACCACTCAAATAGTCGAAATCACTCGCTTGATGCTTTCTGCTCAGACTAAACCTTTAATTGGTTTTTTGGTTCGGTTCGGATTGGTTTTGGCTGTTTGGCTAATCATAAATAGAAATTCCTGTCACAACGAATGAGCGTCTTTTGGTCTGCGGTGTGTCCAAAAAGTGACAGGTGGAAGCGATTCATTAGCCCCATCGGCCTATAAGCATCCGCAGTCATGCCATATTGGCTGTAAATTGATTCATCGGCCAAGTCTTCTAGTTGGGGGGATCGCTGTTCTTTTCCCAAAGACTCCCACTAAGATTTGTGCATTAGTTGGCTGACTAAGCAGCGTCGAAAGCTCATAACAAGTTTGTTTCACCAAACTGGGAGACAGCGAAACCAGTTGAATGGATGAACACATATAAAACAGATATAAAATCATGCATAAAAGCCCCAAACAAACGCCTCAAACGAAGCTTGAATTAGATAATACCCAATGTGATGAGCTCGCCTCTTTCGTGAATATTCATATTTGGATGTGGGCATGTCTGCGATGGGCGTGGATGCCGAAGAGATGCAGCGGAGCTACATTTCAATTAACACCCCGGTATTTGCAGTGGAAACTGTTAAGTGATGCTTAAAATGTTCGATTCGAAAACGATAATTAATCATATTACATGTTTGTAACATATGTGCCTATTGCGAAACAGTGCGCGCATCTCCCACAATTATGGTGTCTATAAATAGCAGAGAAAAACCAAATGGCCACAACAGCAATTGTGGGTGTTGCCTGGGTTCAGCTTCGGCGATATTAATGAGCCAACAAACTTAAAATATTAATGAATGAATGCGGTCATTGACAAACACACTCGTCGCGCAGCTTCAATAAATATAATATTGAAAACCAAAAGCAAGAGCAGGCATTGATAAAGTAGGCGAATAAATATCACAATTTCATTATGCGGTTCTGCTGTTCATTGCAAGTCGAGACTCCGGCAATTACTAATTGCGGTTTGCCAAAATGTTCATGAACAGCCAGAGGCTATGGCTTTGGGGCAGAAAGAGGTTAAGAGCCATACAAACATTTGCAGAAGATTAGTGCACAGCTGTTTGTGGGTTTTTAATGCAAATTAGGACTGAGCAGAACGCTTATTTATTAATTAGCACAAACAAATCTTAATTCCATACATCTAATGCATTTGCCATTTAAAGTTGATAGTGATAGTTATTAGAGACAGCAGGGATTCACCTGATGTGGGTGATAAATCCACTTGCTGAAACAACCATAAATGACGACAATAGATCAAATCAAGCGAGGCACCTCAGCTCGATTATTTAACAGTTCGAATTGTGGAATTCGCGTAGCTCCAATAAGTGAAAGGTTCGTCGAACCGGAATTAGCTCCGGGCCAAATTCAAGCATTTGGGCATTATTCAAGCCAACTCGCTTCAAGCTTGGCGATAAACCAGTCAGGAGTGATAAGCTCGTGCATAGAACATGGCCAAAACACGTTTAGCGCGGCCAGTCGAAAATAAAATATTAAACAAATATTTAAAAATAAACAAAGCCAAGTAATTATCCATGAAGCTCCGAGCTTTGACTCCCAGCGAGTGCCAAGCTAAGGATCTGGCGAATATATCATCATTATCTGATAATAACGAGCCCCACTGGTTGACAAACGATCGCCTTTATGGTCTGTTTGATCCATTTATTAGAATGTCCCTCCGATTCGAGATTGTAAGATACAGAAATCTGATTTAAGCAGAGCAGATCGAAGCTAAATATAATTTATTGCCATTCGCGTCGCCTTTCTTTTTTTTATTTTAATTGGCTCTTTGGCTGTTTGGCTGTTTTGTTCTAAGCGTGTCAACTAATTAAGCAAAACTTAAGATTGAGATTCAATTGGAAACAAGTTCCAGCAAACACTCGCCGTGCTATCCACATCCATTAGCATTCGGGTAATCGGGTTTGGATCGGATTTGGATTCGCGATCTGGAGCCATTAAAATCGAATTAATAATGGACATCGAAGCAAAAACAAAACGCATTGAGCGGGCGAATTAAATGGTAATTTTTCAAGTTCAGGGCATCCGGTGACATCGATACATCAGCTCTCAATTGATTTAAACAGCCTTAATTGTTTTCATTTGGCTCACAGCCTCAGCCTCAGCCACAGCCACACAATGGCCACCACGGCAGACTTGAACCCGAAACCCACTATTACGATTATGAGGCTAATTTCCATCATAATGGATCTTGGCCTGGCCAAGTGCCATAAACCCGTTTCCACACACACATTAGCATACACATGGACACACTCGTACAAGTTTGGATGTCGAATGTCGGGCTGCAAGTGCATCCGAAACAAATGCTCCCTAATTGGCAGCCTGGGTCGAAATTGATTGGGTTACTGATTTCGGGCTGCAGGGTGTCCCCTTTCTCGTTTAGGGCCAATTAATTGGACATTTCTCGCTGGCCCGAAAAACACGGACATCCGACCGCCTTGCACAACCTTTCAAGTTCAAAGGGCGGCCAATAAATTGCACTTGTTATCGCCGCACTTGTTGCTCTTGCCAGCGGAAACCTGGTGCTGCTGATGTTTCCGATGCTGTTACTGCTGCCGAGGTTCGAGATTTGGATTCGAGATTCAATTATGACGGCTCTTTATTGTGTTGGCGAACACAAAATGTCAAATGCTGACTTGGCCACTGCCATTGACCTTGACTGTGCTCCGCCGCTTTGTTGAACTCAAACAAGATTATGCTTATGAGTGTATTCAAATGAACTCGGCGGCCAATCATAAATTTGGTTACTTCTGCAGGTCGAACAGTCGTTTAGCAAGCCCCAAATTGATTTTGGGGGAATTTTGAGCTACACGTATGCGAATTCCCACTCAAATTTGCTTGCAGATTGCCCAAGACTGTTCGAGATTACATAAATTCAAGTAATACAAATAGGTTTAAAGTAGTAAGTCAAAGAAAAAGTTAATAGTTTCTCATGCAAACTAAGAACTAGTAAGAAAGTATCTTTACGTTCTTTATGGTCTTTAAGAGTCATCAAATGCTCAATGTATATGCTTTCTGCTTTTGAAAATCCTTGTAATTGGTAAATGAATACGTAAAATAAAATTTATCTGGTTTAGTAAATCAATTTGGAAGCTAAAACTGTAGCCGCAGTCACTTTTATTGCGGGTTTGAAGTCGCGGATCGGGGTCACTGAAGTACATCGTTACTTTGAAATATACACAATTTTTGTAATTTTATTTGCAGAACTTAACGACAGTGTTTCGGCGTTAATTTCGCAATGCAAAAAAAATAAATTTCGAGTGTAGCCTAGAGCCCGCCAGCGTTTGTGGCCCGGTGATAAACCTTTTGGGTGCCGAAGTGGACTCCCAACATGGTTCGCCAGTTGGTTCTATTCGCCATGTTTGCACAGTTGTCGGTTGTCAGTCGTCGGTCGGTGCTCAGCAGTCCAAAACCCACCCACTTGCAGCAGCGGAGTGCGTCAAGTGGCACATGGCAACCTGCAACCTGCAACCTGCAACCCGCAACAAGCCGCAAAGCCGGTTCATCTCGCATCTCGCATTTCGCAGGGCAACCTCCCAGCATTTAAGCCCCTGAACATCCTTTTCAATGGCTCTCGGACGCCCGGGAAAAAAGTGTAAGAGGCAAAACTAGTTTAAGCCCCACGAATGCAAACGCACTGCATGAGCAGAAGTCTAATATCTTTTTTCAAATTTCATTTTCGTGCCGAGCTGGCAGCATGTGTGTTTACTCGGATTAAGCTGTAAATGTTTTCCCTTCAAGGGGCAAGCAGCTTGGAAGGAGACTTATGAACAACTTGTGTCTATATGCCTTTGCTCGATTCTCCGGCTTAACGTTTCTTTCGGATTTTTTGCTTTAATTAAAACCCGAACATTAATATGACAACTTGTACAGACCTTCAAGTGGAAGTGGATGGAAGTGGCAGAGAAAATTCAAGTTGGTCTAAGGAATTTTAGTTCCGAAAGCCAAATTGATTAATGATTTAAGGGTTATTTTTGTTAACACATATTCTTAACTAAAGAAAACATTTTTTAGTGTCTGTTTTAGTGTCCAATTTATATATTTCGAAGTTATTTCTTTACTTCAACCTTAAATATTTTTTATTTATTTTTTATTTTTTAAATGTAACATTGTAAACATTCCCTCAACTTGTTTCGCAATTCTCCAAGGATTACACATATTCAACGTGTTAGCACACATTTTCCTTCAGGTTGTA